GAAGATTTTAGAGTTTAGCTCACAATTATTATAACAAATGTGTTCATGCAAGGTACATCAAGTCAGCTCATTTAAATGGAAGGTTGTCTGCATATGAATATTTGGTTTATGAGATTATGGTCTTTACTGTAAACGTGAAAGGTCTAGCATATAATTGAAATTATGCAAAACATTATTTTAGACATTTTCTTTCATTAGGCCTTCCAAATTTCTCCTTTCGTGGGGTGAAAAGATCTTGTGCTGCTCTTCCATTAATTGATAGAAATTGTCTGCTATTCAGGAACATTATGGGCTGTATTCAGCATGGTTGCTTGCTGAAAGGAAGAGCCCCTTCCCATGAATGCACCTCTGCTTTTGTGAAATGAAACTCCTTCCATTTGTGGGGTGAAGAAGCTAGATGCCCTACACACTGAAAATAACATGTCCCACCCTGACTAGCATTTCATGAAGAATAGTCAACAAATCCTCTTGATACTGGATCAAGAATTTAAAAAAGAAATCCTAAAAATCCAGATATGACAAATCCACATCTGGATTTTTAGGATTCCTTTCTTTGTTTTCTGCCATTCCCCCAACAATGCAACTCCACCAAACGCTTCTCCCTAGGCCTAAATAGGTTCAAGGAGTTGAGTTTTCTAAATGTGGCCCCTATCCCTCCTTACATCAGAACAGCCAAGCACCCCTCCTCACAGGCCAGCACTTTCCCCAAGGAGTACTGAATCCAGGCATCCATCTTCCGTCCTCCCCACCCCTAAACTGCCCATCAATAACATGTCCCGTTCTCAAACTCCTGCTGCATCAAGACTTTGACCCATCTAGGCTAGCATCCTGTTCCCCCGGCGGCCAACCAGATGCCCCTGGAAAGCCCGCAAGCAGGACCTGAGCACAACAGCACTCTCCTCTCCTGCAATTTCCAGCAACTGGTATTCAGAAGCATACTACCTCTTGGCTGTGGAAGAGTATAGCCATCGTGGAGAGGACCATCAGTGATTGCATGTGGAGGTCAGAACTACAGTTGCCTCCTGACAACATTCTGACTCAAATGAATAATAATAATAATAATAATAATAATAATAATAATAATAATAATAAAATTTTATTTATATCCCGCCCTCCCCAGCCAAAGCCGGGCTCAGAGCGGCTAACAACATTAAAATGATACAACATTCTAAAATCATTTCATTATAAAATCAATTCAAATCAGATTAATGGCAACCATTGGGCTAGAGTCCTGTGAGGATTGCCAAAGGAGGGGGTCAGGCTGTGCCTTGGCCAAAGGCCTGGTGGAACAGCTCTGTCTTGCAGGCCCTGCGGAAAGATGTCAAGTCCTGCAGGGCCCTAGTCTCTTGTGACAGAGCGTTCCACCAGATTGGAGCCACAGCCGAAAAAGCCCTGGCTCTGGTTGAGGCCAGCCTAACCCACGACCTCCAAAGTGTTTTCGTTTGAAGACCGTAAGGTCCTCTGTGGGACATACCAGGAGAGGCGGTCCCATAGGTAAACAAAGAATTGCTTAGTTATCCTGCTTAGTGGCACTGCAGTCCAGAGATTGGTCAAAGCCTCTAGGCCAGGCTTCTTAACGTTGTTGCTGGAGACAGAAACACCAAACATCAGGATAAGTCTAAGTAGCAAAAGAAGCAAATAGGACAAACTAGGTCCTTGATAACCAATAGCCCTGCTCACACCTTCAGAATCTGCTCACTACATATGTGGATCATGGACAGAAAGAAGATGATGTTTCTACTGTTCCTGCTGCTCTTCCACCATTTGAATGGAAGATGGGAATGGTGCCTACATCCAAAGAATAGTCCACGTATATGGTCTGTGTGTACAATTGGGAACCCATATGATCTTCAGGTGCTTACAGTGTTTACAGTGTTATGCTCCTAGAACTTAGTACACATCTTCCATAGAATCTAGAGAGGTCTTAAAAAAGGTAAAAGGACCCCTGACCATTAGGTCCAGTGTGACCGACTCTGGGGTTGCGGCGCTCATCTCACTTTATTGGCCGAGGGAGCTGGCATACAGCTTCCAGGTCATGTGGCCAGCATGACAAAGCCGCTTCTGGCGAACCAGAGCAGCGCACGAAAATGCTATTTACCTTCCCGCCGGAGCGGTACCTATTTATCTACTTGCACTTTGACGTGCTTTCCTGCTAGATTGGCAGGAGCAGGGACCGAGCAACTGGAGCTCACCCCGCCGCGGGGATTCGAACCTCCGACCTTCTGATTGGCAAGTTCTAGGCTCTGTGGTTTAACCCACAGCGCCACCCGTGTCCCTAGAGAGGTCTTTAGGCGCCACCAAAAACCAAAACCTTTGAGGGATCAAAAATGGCTTGCGAGCCATGGGTCAGCTACCCCTGATATTATTGGCTGTGGTTATTTCCCTAATCCTTTTCATAAGGATCCCTAACACAGAATTTGCCTTTTCGCAGCTGCTTTACACCAACTCCATGTACCTGCTTTTAGGTCACATATGGGCCAAGCAATGGTGTGCAACTTTGTGTACATGCTCAGAGGTGCTGAGTGCTATCCAGGCTATCAGAAGTGCTCAGAGCAGCCTGAATATACCCCAGCCAAATACAGAATATACATATTTGTCCCAGCCAAATTCAGAACCAAATACAGTTATTGGTTTTTAAAATATATATGTGTGTGTGTGTATTTGCTAACAAACTGCCACTGGATTCTTGCCACTTGTCGTTTGGGGTCAGCACATGAGATTAGTCACTCTCAAATCTCCAAGGAATAAATTAAATTTGCCCTGCTTCGCTGTCAACACTGGATTAATGACTTGTCAGCTATATGGAATATCCCTTCTGTGAATGCAGCGCGCAGTGTAGCTTCATCAAAAAGGATGAGAAACATCATCTTTCTTAACAGTATGATAAGGCACACTTGGAAACTGTTACTAAAGGCGCTGTCAAGGGAGAGAAAAATACTGAAGACGTTAGGCTGATGGGCATTTCTCTTTCCTGTATTGCACTTCATTGACATTAATTATGAAATATGCCTCAAAGGCTGATAAATCTGTAATTGTCACATTCGGTCTAAGCCAGATGTTGTTTGGTGCAGAGCAGGCTTTCACCTGTGAAAACAGTTTGCCGATTAAAGACCTGAAGGTGGACATCACACAGCTTGTGCCCAGCAACCCAGACCAACAAGGCGTTGGTTGTGAGCCTTGCCTAAAACTAACCAAAATATGGTGCAGAGAGGAAAGGCAACAGCTTGGAGGGGAAACTACAAAGGAGGCTAGAATGAAAGACTTTAAGAGCCCCATATTTATTCTGGCAAAGGGATTTAAAGAATATGTAAAGGTAGGAAGTGAACTGATGGCCCAGAGGCAGCTTATTGTGGCTCTCCATTGAACTCTGCTCATAACCTTGCAGTATTACCTTCCATTCGCAGTCAGTGCGAAAGGAGCAGGCCAGGCCACCTGTGTGTGACAGGAAAACCACCTTCTCTCCAGGCACAGAGCCAATACCTGGGGGGGGGGGTTCTAGCTCCCAAACGCAGAACAGAAGTGACATCACCAAATACGGAAGAGAACATAAAAGGGACAGCTCTAGTTATTACTTTAACTGACGGTTGTTGTTGGGGGTTTTTTTACAACTACAGTGGTACCTCGGGTTACATACGCTTCAGGTTACATACGCTTCAGGTTAGAGACTCCGCTAACCCAGAAATAGTACCTCAGGTTAAGAACTTTGCTTCAGGATGAGAACAGAAATTGTGCTCTGGTGGCGCGGTGGCAGCAGGAGGCCCCATTAGCTAAAGTGGTGCTTCAGGTTAAGAACAGTTTTAGGTTAAGAACGGACCTCCGGCACAAATTACGGTAGGTACTTAACCCGAGGTACCACTGTATGTTACCTTTTTCATTGCACACAAAATGGGGACAAGAGCAAGTACATGGAAAATTTTGTCTTATGTGGGTGAAGACTTTCGTTGTGCAAAGGCAAAGCAAGTCTGGTGTTGGCTCTAGATTTGGGGGAACCACTGAGCAAAATGCCTGCACCCGGAGATATTTATGGGCCCACCCTCCACCTCACCACTGCCCAGCCACTTGCCCTCTTTCTATCTGATCCCAAACTCCACTGCCACCCAGAGGGAGAGGGCAAGCCAAGCAGGGAATTGGGGAAGGGTTGAGTGGTTGGGTAACTGCTTTGCATACAAAAGATCCGGGTTCAATTCCTGACATCTCCAGGTAGGACTGGGAAACCAGGCTGGAGAGCTGCTGCCAGTCAGTGCTGACAGCACTGAGATAGATGGATTGCTGGTTTGACTTGGTATAAGACAGCTTCATAGGTCTCTAGAATTCTAGCTGAACCAGTCACTTCTCTCGTCTTTTTAATATGCTTAGAGGGGGGAAGCAGCAGAACCAGGAGACTCCAAGGATCAGCAAGGGACCCCCTGAAATATTTAAAGGTGCTCCTTCCAATCAGCAGATTTTCCAGCAGCATCCACTCCTAATTAATTATAGGCCGCTACGGTCTAGTTTCAAGGCCTGTGCAATTTCGATCATATCCACAATCAATTCTGGCGGCATGCTTTTTCCATCCACAGCTTCTTGGATGATGTCAGCACCACAAAAACAATACGAAAAACATGTCCACAGCTCCCATTTTTATTTGTTTGTGTGGGGAAAGGGTCCTCTCCCCCCCCCCTCTCCACCGCATTAGTTTCTTATCTGGTTCGAGTAGATGTAAAAAGTGCTGCATGAAAAGAAATTTCGAGCCATTCGTCCAAAACCTGACAGAAACACATTAATGATGCATTCAGTGTGAAAACTGACTCCAGGTGCTTCAAGTGATAAAAGGAGTCGTGCAATGGCCTGACAGTATGAAGAATCAGGTCACAATTATATTTTTAGAAGTGATTTTTTGTTCCTTTCAAGCATGCTTGCTTCCCATCCCTTTCCCCCTTCTTTTCTGTCTTCTTTCTCAGAATAACTTGGCCAGTGCTTGCAGAAGGCTGTTTCTAGCCTCAGGGATTTTCACACATACTTCTGTTGACAGAGTTCCTGTATAGCAAGCAATCTGAAATGCCTTTTGTTAAGGATCTGTTCATACCCCCTTTCTGTTCTGCCTCAACATTTGGAAGATCTTTCAGCTGCTGAATCCTACTATTGCACTCATGGAAAAAACTGAATTTGGGGTTGTCTTGCAGAACAGAGCAGGTAAAATTATATCCATAACAGATGCATTATTTCTAGTCCCTTGGTTTGTGGGTTATTTTCTCTACGTGTTTATTTCTCTGCGGGGCAATAAAAACATTTTTAAGAAATCAAAAGTAACTATCAAATGATGAGTGGGAACTAGCAAGCTCTATTTGTTAAAAGTTAATTTGCAGTTTCTTCTGCCAGGTTTAACTTTCGCTTCAAGCATGCAGGTTAAGTAAAAAATAACAATCCTTGATGTGTACTTACTTTTAAGGGCAAAACAACAACTGAAGTGTACCAGGTAATCAATGCACATTGATTCTGTTGTCAGAAAAATTATCTTTACAGAAACCATAAAGCAATAATTAACAAAAAATATGCTTTCCTTTTAAAAAACACACCACCAGATGAATAATAAGAAAATGAGTGGTAAGTTAAAAATACTTTGGGTTTTATTTGACTTAGTCATAGTCACTGTAGATCAATTTAAGTCCAACTCATTTCACTGGCTCTACTCCTCAATTTATGCCATTCTCAATGTACGGAATTAAGTGCTCTTATAAATGTCTGTGTATTTTTGTGCAGCCACATAATCATCCAGTTGCAGAAATCTGTGATTTTGTATGATCTACTTGCTATGTCAAAAATATTTCCTAAATTAAATATGGCTACAAAGGAAGAATTATTTTAATAAAATGAAGACAAGTCTGTACCCAAAATCATTTCCCCATATTATCTTTTTATAGACAATGATAACTGCATTGTGCTTTTTGGGTTTAACAAGTTTTTTGTGATCTTTTTTCAATGAAGCTTTAAGCTTATCTTAGTTAAGAAAACATGAGATTGCATGCTTTGTGGGTTGTGAAACAACCATCCTAGGTCAGGTTCCTGAGGAGTGTATGAGGGTATTTAAAGACACTTAATTGGCCATATATTGTGCTTTCTGTTGCAAACACCGTTTACAGCATAGTGGCCAGTCCCAGTCCAACAAACTATGGTTTGGTGCAGCAGGGACAAGCAGTGAGCTTAAGAAATCCCTCCTCCAGCAAACCCTTCCCTTCTCATGTGCCTGACTACAGAAACTTCCTGGCTTATTCAGCGACAGTTTCCCCAGTATGCTCAGTCTAGGAAACTATGGTTTAATCACTTCCTACAAACCCGGATTGCAATAAACCAGGATAATACTGTGGTTTCTAATACTGGCTTGTAAGAAGTATATAATGCACAGTTTCTTGGTTCTGACATCAGAGGGAAACTGTGGTTTAACAAATCATGACATCTCTGTAGCTGCACATGTAAAAAGAGGGGAAACTTGTAAACATTTCATCTTCAGCCAACCATTATCTAGCGCCATCTTTATTCAGCCACCCATCCGTCTACGGCTACATACTCGCCGTGCATTTAAAGCACATGACTTCCCCAAAGAATCATGGGAACTGTAGTTTATCCTTTACAGACCTACAATTCCCATCACCCTTAACAAATTACAGTTCCCAGGATTCTTTGGGGAGTCATGTGCTTTAAATGTGTATGGTGTATATACAGCCTAACACTTCATAGGGCACTGCCCAAAAGAGATTAAGATTCTCAAGAAGATAAATTCTGTGTTCTAAACAACATTCTGTTCTTCTGAAGAATCACAGCATACATGTATCTTTGTTTATCATTTCTTTTCTCTCTTTTTTGGTGGGGGACGAATGACAAGGTCAAAGTCTACCAAGAAGCCTGAAGGTTTGAGTCTTAAGATTGAGCTTACATGCAGTAACATTTCTAATGTAGTATTTTGAATTTCAGGAACAAAGAAGTCTTGGATAATGTCCATGCAGCGCTTCTCCAGGTAACTAAAAGAATGTAGCTCCCAATAAATAAATGAAAGACTTCACTGCATAAGGAATGTTTCACAAGATGTCTAGCAATGAAATGGAGTTTGGCCTTCTCTGATGGATTAAACTTGATGTAACGGAAGTGCAGCCATTCGATCAGGAAGAGGTGATGTCTTACTCTAGGCCTGCTAAAACTGACAAGCCACTTGAGACTTCAGAGGAGATAAAAGAAGACATAGAAGGGGAGATCCATTGTCGTTTTCTGGAAACAGCTCCAAGACCTTCATTTATGTCTCACTTGACATACAGTGAAGCATCCTTGGAACTTACCAAAGTTATTGGCCAGCTGTATGTTGATGGAGAGCCTGAGGAAAACCAGCTGGATGGAGAATTATTATATTCCTCAAATTACAAAGCCACAGACGATCCAGCCCAGCCCCCTTTCCAGTTTCTTCCTAGACCAAACTCTGACAAGAAACTGGGCAGAGCTCCTGAAACCATTCAATTAAAACACAGGTTAAATGTTTGCACATGTTCTTCACGGCACAGGATTAACTCCAAAATTCAGATTGGCGAGGTGACAAACATAGAAGCTTCTTTGTCAGAAGATCAAGAGGAGGAGGAGGACGAAGATGTTTTCACAGAGCTACCAAAGCGCAGGACAGCTTTGGAGAGCCTGCACAAAACGTGCATTTCTCAGACGAAACAAAACAGAGATGGTCACATCAGTAATAAAGGTGTCTTCACAGCCATTGCTGGCAACAATCCCAAAGAGAAGGAACTGAAAGAGCGCAAAATGCATCGGCGGGTAAGACAACATGATTTCATGCTATAAAGCAGAGATGGTGATGATGGGGAAGCACAGTTTGAATTCCTGCTCCTGATTCCTGTAACGTGTAACAGGAGGGTACCATCAAAGCCCCTGCTGATAGTAATTCTAGGGGAAGAAAGGATTAAAATGTTGTTTTGGCTGTGATGCACCTTGTGCATGAGTTGGGGGGGCTGTGCTAATGTTTTTGGCCCTCCAGTCCTTGCTCAGTTCAAGTATGGACCCTGTTGAAAAGTAGTTGCCAACCATGAATAAGGAAAAGTCTTAGCATAAGAAGCAGTGAACCCTCCAGTGTTTAGTTCCCATCTATAATTTTATATTTTCTGACCTAGGAAGAGAAAGCAGTATTTTAGATGGGAGTGATTTTCAAACTGCCTTAGCTCAAGCACTCTCTTAAATTTGACATTTTCTGACAACTGGGAGTTAGGTTACATTACCCACACATGACAACATTTATTTCACTGTACACAATTTGAGGGTGTGTGTTTTGCTAACAACAGAACCCCAGAACACATATGCAGGGGCAAATATCTAAACTGACTAAGCTGCTTTTTCAAACTTTTTTTTTTAAAAAAGTACAGTCAGTTACTTTTCAGTCCAGTTATGCAGTTAAGTAGTAAAGAATGACAGAAGGTGAGATCATGGAGGCAATTATATTGCACAATCTGTAGCCTTAGGGTGGAGTTAATAAGCAATCTGTCCCAATGGAGAGTTTAAAAATTACAAAAAAAAGAAGGGGGGAACCCTATGAATTAAATTTAAATTGTTTAACTGAATTTTTTCACATCTTGAAATTATAAAATTAAGTACGTAAAGTTGGGCTAATGTTTTCAAATACTGCCCAGATGGATGTTTAAATATTTAACTTCATGCTGCTCTGACGCCATATAAAAGTTATACACATGAATCCCAACAAACGTGCTGAGACATAGATTCACTAAGGGCCAAGTCCCTTCAATGTGTGCTTGTGAAATGAAAACATCTGAATCTCTACATCATGTTATGTTTATCTGCCCTTTGTACAGTTCAGCCCGTGCTAGTATACTAAACCCCATAATCCAGCCTATGGATGACAAACCAGTAGACCTACAGCTTGCCTGGGTACTTCAAGATGTGGATCCTTATATTACCCTACAGGTTGCTAAATTCCTAACAGCCGTCCTCTCATACAAGAGACGGAACGGAATGTTAGCTGATTATTGATAGTCATAAGAATTTTCTATAATGACATCAGATATTGTTTTTAGTGTAGTGCCAATTTTTTTTAATCTTAATCTTACAACTTTTTTATGAATGGCTAATATCCGTCCTTGTGAGTTGTGAACTGTGTTATACTACTTGTGGTTTGTATGAGTCCGCTGTTTTATTTGATTTGTTTTGTTGTGTTGTGCTTCATGATGGGCGTAAAGCCGAATAAACAAACATTTGCATTTATACACATGAATCACATTCTCAAAGAACCAGTCAACAAGTTATGCAGTGGCAAAAATGTGATTTCCATTGTTTACACATACAGCCAGTAGCTATGCTAAACACTCTTCTGTTACACGAAGTTCTGGACAGATCTAGTCTGCTCCTCCCTTCACCCAGTGACTAATGACACCAGCTCACCATGGCGAGCGATTTTGGAACTTATTTTCATTAGGTTCATAGGACATGCTCAGAGAACTTTGTTATATAAGTGGAATATACTCATCATACGTACATAAACAAATGAACAAAAAAACCCTGTAGGTTAGGTGAAGGGGTCCCCCGGCAGCATGATCCTGGTGGGGTGCCATCGCAGCTGCCCCCGCCCCGCCCATGCTGAGCACCATGCCTCCACAGGCAGCGTGCCACGCCCCTGCAGGCAGCACACCACGCACCATGCCCCCGGGACGTGCGCTAGCCCTGCCCCCAACTGTTCTCCGCCCCCTCCCCTGGTGCCGGAGCATGAAGCTCCATCACTGGGTCCCCTTGCTGAAACTAAATCGGTCCCCTTTTTCTTTTTTAGACTCTGAAGCATCTCCTAAATATGATTAGCATAGAGCACTAGAAACATTAGACTAGCCAGGTAGATCAGGTGAATGGCCTATCTAGTCCACTCACCTTGTTCTCATAGTGGCCAACAAGATGTCTGTGGGAAGCCTGCAAGATGGATCATAGAATTGGAAGGGACCCTGAGGATCAACTAGTCCAACCCCCCAGCAATGCAACTGTCCCATACAGGGATCAAACCTGCAACCTTGGCGTTATCAGCGCCACACTCTAACCAACTGAGCTGACCAAGGCTGACTGAGACATGTTTGCAAGGGCATTCTGCTCACCTGCAGTTTCCAGCAACTGTTATTCAGAGGCACATTGACTCTGACAGTGAAAACAGAATATAGCCACCATTGCAGTTAGTAGCCACTAATAGCCCTGTCCTCTTCAGATTTGTCTAATCCTCTTTTAGAGCATTCTTTTTAATCCTAAAGATGATTCTGCAAGTAGAAGACTAGTAGATCACAGAAGGAGATGAACAGGAGTTAACATATAGAGGTAACTTAAGTGTATATGAAGTTGCCTACGAGAGCTTATAATGCAACAAGCAAGTTAGTTTCTATGATGTTATCAAACTTTGTATTTTCTATATTACATGAGCTACAATATGTGATTAAAAGTACAGCGTTTAGGATAAACGAGCTTAATTTTCCTATATCAGAAATTCTACCACACTGCCGGAATACTTAAAATCTCTGTTAACCAGTTACAAAAACAAGTTTCTTTCCCCCCCCCCCCCAGTCCCTGTATTTTGAGTGGGATGGTGGGGGCTTAAAAGCTCTGCAACTCCTTCGGAAGATTTTTAAAAGCCTTGTTCAAAAGGACATGCTAAGTGATGACCTTGATGCTTATCGCCAGCATACCAAACATAAATGAGTATGCTGCAAACAGGATATCCCTTGTACAAGATGAACAAATAAGGAGAGTTTATCAACAGGAGATATTGCTTCACTTTTCGTTCTTGGTCCACGTGAACTGCAAGTCAGTAGTGTCGTGCTCCTTCTGGTATCCAATAACTATTCTGTCCCCATCCCCCATCCCCCAAATTAAATGTTCAGAAAGGCTTTATTTTTACCCCCTAAAAGGGTTTACATTAAGAGCGTACACCAGCTGTCCAACAGTGTTTTGATGCTGAGCCTGCCAGTGGAAGGACAGTAAACAGGGAGCCAGTCTAACTTCTCTAGGGAGTTCCAAAATCTGGGAGCAGCCACTGAGAAGGCCCTCTCTCCATGTCCCTACCAAGCGTGCCTTTGAGGGTGGCAGGACTGAGATAAGTCCCCCCACCCCGAAGATCTGAGAAATTGGGCAGGTTTATATGAGGGAACATGGTATTTCTGATAGCTTGGACCTAAGCCTTGTAGGGCTTTATAGGTCATAACCAGCACTTTGAATTTTGCCTGGAAACAGACTGGTAGCTGCCATAATAAGGAAGCCGTATGCTCCCTATAACCAACCCCAGTCAACAATGTGGCTGCAGCTTCTAGTGCCAGTCGACATTTTTCATAACTTTTCGAAGGCAGCCCCACATAGAGTGAGTTGCAGTAACCCAAGCTAGTATTCAACTAAGTTTTACTCAGAACAGACCCAGTGAAATTAATGAGCATGCCTAGTTAAGTCCATTAATTTTAATCAGGTTACTGAAAGTAAATCTTATTTGACTATCATCCATTACTCCATCAGCAGAAGCAATATGTCTCTGAATAGTAGTCACTGCGGAACAACTGTGGCAGAGGGCTATTGCTTGTGGGTTCCCCATACGCATCTGGTCACTCTTTAGGGCAGTGACCAAACTTGGCCCTCCAGCTGTTTTAGGACAACAGTTCCCATAATCCCTGACCACTGGTCCTGTTAGCTAGGGATGATGGGAGTTGTAGTCCCAAAACAGCTGGAGGGCCAAGTTTGGCCATCACTGCTTTGGGGGAACATAATTAACGTCTGAATCCATCAGGACTCTTCTTGTGATGTCTTCTGGATATAGAATTTTGAACTAGGTTCGCATAGTAGCTGGGCTATGTTATTGCTTAGAGACGCTACGTTTACTGCCTTGTTTCTGTAAATATGCCAGTATTTATTACGGACTTTATTCATCAAACTGCTTTACAGGAAAAGGGGCTTAAGCTAAAAAGAGTTACAGTGAATCAATAATAAACAGGAATCATTTAACAACCACCTGAAGAGACATGCTCAGAAAATTATATATGATAGAAAGGCAAGGTTACATAGACAGTAGTAATGCTTTATTCTGTGCTTCCTGATTGGCAGACGAATCCAAATCCCGATTAAGCAACAGTAGGATGCATTCAGGGGCTAAGCCACCACTGCATTCACCAGCTGGGGTGGAACATGGTGGGCAGGCAACAGCCTGCAGTTATACCAGCCTAGAGCTGACTTAGCAATTGGCCTGATGTCATCAGGTGACAAGGGCGGGACTAGTTCAGTTTGGGACAGTCCATCAACTGCACTTCTGCTGGCCCACACAGGCAAAATATGGACCCCATGCTAGTGGTGTGGCATTAGCAGAGCTTTACAGGCAGAGGCTGGCAGTACTGTTTTGGGCTGGATGCAGGAAGACCTCCACCTAGGGATGATGGAGAAATTTGAATCAGGTCGCATTTAAAGGTGGATCTACCAAATCCACACGTTCTGAAACAATATGAGAACCAAAACGCAGCTATCGTTTGAAATTCACACTTATCTGAATTTCGCAGTGCAGTTCTGCAGCTAAGTAAAGCATATACTGGGATAAAGTGTGCAGAAAAATACAGATAGAACAAAAGTGCATATATTAAGGGAGGTTGCACACGGACATGTGTATATTAGATTAAATTCACCCTAAAATGATGATGATTTTTCATGAGGACTTGAAAAATTCTGTGCTTCAAGTGTCCCCGACAACCCCTTTGTCCTTCAAGCTAAATATTTTTAGTGCCAAGCCATTAACAAAATAGTTACTACAAAATTGTCTGTTTCATAGAATTGGGCACTTTGGCAGACATCACATGAAGTGTTTGTTAGATTTAATCTAAATTGGTTCTGATGGTTTTTTAGTCAAATGCCGCAAACAAACCACCTTGTATGTAGGTGAACTGCATTGTACCTGTCATAGATTCATGTAGCACGAAACCCAAGCATGGCTCAATCAGGATTCAGCTATTACTCCTAAGTCAACTATTTGTTTAGGGCTTTTGCAAAGAAAGGGATAGAGAGAATTGAAATCACAACAGACATTTTGCTCTTAGTGTTCCCTGTGCCAAAATTATTGTTGTTGTAACTTCAGGTGATTTCATTTAGCCCCTACTACATGTTCCCCCCAAAAGGGACGCAGGTGGCACTGTGGTCTAAACCAGAGCCTAGGGCTTGCCGATCGGAAGGTCGGCAATTTGAATCCCCGCGACGGGGTGAGCTCCCGTTGTTCGGTCCCAGCTCCTGCCCACCTAGCAGTTCAAAAGCACGTCAGAGTGCAAGTAGATAAATAGGTACCACTCTGGCAGGAAGGTAAATGGCGTTTCCATGTGTTGCTCTGGTTTTGCCAGAAGTGACTTAGTCATGTGGCCATGTGACCTGGAAGCAGACAAACGCTGGCTCCCTTGTCCTACAGAGCAAGATGAGCGCCGCAACCCGAGTCGTCTGCAACTGGACCTAAAGGTCAGGGGTACCTTTACCTTTTACATGTTCCCCCCACCCAAGCCAGTCAGAGTTCAACAACAGAAACAAGGATATAATCTTGTTCCCCAACAACCAAGCTGAAGGAAAATGCAACTTCTTCAGTCTATTCATGTTGCCCTTATAGATGAGCATTGCAGATGAAATCATTTTCCCTGCATTGACTCTTCCCTGCACCAAGATACATCTAATATCTATTTAATGGTGTAGCAGAGCCAGCACAGACTCTGTCACTGCCACCTACTGGATAATTAACTCCTGACTTCAGTAAATCCTAGATTCTCAAGAAAT